AAGTTTATTTTGACGTCGATAGCTCTTAATTGGCTGCAACTAATTTAGAAAGATAATGGATTTAATTTTGAACTAAATAAATTGAGTGGTGCGTTAAATTTGCTCATCAAAGTCATATATCATCACCACACATTTCAGCACGAAAAGAACGAAGAACCTGGGATTCTATGAACAAATTTCAACTACATATGGACAGGAAGCAAAGGGTATTTTGAAGGACTTCGCCAACAATGAGAAGAAACTCGCATCGGCTATTAATCAGAGAACATTTTTGTTGAAATGCAGACAACCCAAGGCCCTGGAGATGATCTCAAATAAAGATCGAAACGTTGGCACGTTAAAGAAAATGTTTTTCTGAAATCTACATCACATCAGACCGCATCTCACCATGTCCGAATAATCAATGTCATATATATGTAAACATGAGCATTAAAAAATACCTTGTCACTTTCATTGCATTAAAATCAAATATTTGAATTTATGTCGTGGGTAGACTATTTTTTAAAAAGAATAACTTTTAGGAAAAATAAATTATTTAAAAAAATTCTTAACAAAAAATGAGATTTAACTGTAATTACTTTTATTGTAATAGTAACTTTTTTTATATTCAAAACTTTCAGTAAATCCATACAGGGTTCGATAATTACTTTGTTATTTAAAACGTTGTAAAAAGACTATTTTTTGTATAGTTAATTAGTTATGTACGTAATTAATAATTAATTGTAAAAAGCTTATTGTATCAAAGTACTGAAAATTTTGAATGAGGATATGTAAAAGTCAAAGCTACATATTTCCTTCTATTTTGGACGCTCGAAAATCCCCTCCAAATAAGAAACTCGAAATGGTAAAGCGAGATGTTAGAATGACCCACGGGAAAAATGCTATATTGTTGTTGGGAAAAGGTCGTTGCTTCAAGGGTAGTCACTGGTCAGTCAGTAGTTGAGTTGAGAAGAGTCGACACTAGTCAATTTCAGTTTAGTGTTGGTGTAAAAAAATTGCTTTCAAAAGAAGTTCAACTGTTTTATAAATTGATCTATGATAAGAAAAGTTTTACTTATCGCCCTTTACCTTGAAAATGATTATATACCTACGAAGGAGGGGGTTCAATATGATCCCCTACCCCGGGTCATCTTTGAAACCGCCCTCTACAAAGACAATCATAAGCCGACCATCGTCTTGGTTATTTAAAAGTTATTAAAATTTCCAAAAAGGAGAAACAAAAAAATTACATTGTGAGATTTCGTATATGCAAGCTGGTGTCAATCTTTGTATTTGACATTTTTAGTGTTGAATGTTTTGTACCTGTATATTTCCAAGTGTTCAATTATGTTCATTTTCGTCTTTTTAGTGAGTGTGTCATGAATTATTTATCATTCAAATCACTATTAATTAATTAATAGCGAATAGAATAGAATAATTAAAGGGAAAAAGACCGACCGGAGCAATAAATGACCGAGACAACCCAGCAAAGACATTGTCAGATAAAAATAATGCCGACCCGACATACGCGCTCCACTTTCACAACTTCATTAAAAACCTCACTTCACCCCAAAAATTCTCCAGACCCAAAAATAAAGTTAGCGAAATGCCGAAACCTGTCTGACAGACATAAACAAACTATAATGCCCTCTGTTATGAACATAGAAATGTCAATATAATACAATGCCTTGAATTTGAAAAAGGTGGAAGTACTTAGTAATAAAGAGTTGTGTTGAGACAAATTATAAATAAATAAATAAATAAACAGTTCTTTCTTGGCCATAGATCATGCTAAAGTTTTATCATTGTGATGTACGTTAACATATATCATCCGTATTAAAGGAACCCTTCTGCCTCCCATTCTAAGAAGAAAATAATAATAAAAGTTCTCATTTAAAAAAGAAGTCGTCTTGCCACTATTATTATTTATTTTCCCAGGGACGGTTTTAAGCTCTTACAAGGCATCTTCAGTAGGCTTAAAATTAAAATTAGAGTAGTAAGAACTTAAATTTTTGTTACTTATGTTGACATAGAGGTCATATTCGCTTACTAACTTTCATGTCAACATAAGTAAGTAAAATAATTTTCTTAGAACACCGATGGTGGCTCAGCTACACCCAAAAATCGTCTCTGGAAAAACAAAGAAAAATTGTGGGAACACACTTCTTTTTATATGTTATTTCCACCCACGACTCACACATCACCGAATATATTTTTTTTATGTTTCCTTGTTCCAAAAAATAATAAACCGCTCGTACTATCTGGGTATTGTAATTAGTCATGTGTTTACTATTAATTATTTTCAATTTTTATGAAGAGACAGTTAAGAAGAAAAATTAGTGCAAATACCAGACATCGTCAATTATTTTATACACATTAAATAAAATTTTAGACCTATTTTAATAATATTTCAGATATTATTAATTATAATGTCAAAATATTGTCGTACAATAGCATACTACTGTTACTTACGATCGTATGGTTTCAGTCAAAGACAATCGTAAATTTTATTTTAAAAGATTGAAATTTATTTTGAAATGAAAGGTAATTTTCAGTGGGCCCGGTTGGTATTATCGGCTTATTGGTATTCGTGTAGTAAAAAAAAACATTAAAGAAATTAAAGAGATGGTGTGACCCAAAATCAATAGGAACACGAAAATTTCTTTTAAAAGGAACAAGGGGTGAAATCACGCCAACTATTAATATTCATTCAGGGCTTAAACGCCCGCAAAAACATATGCCTTTTGTTTCCCGAAGCGACAATGGTCGGAGCCGTTTTTAGGGTCATGACCCCTTTCTAGATCACTGGCTGAAGGGTTAGGGGGTTGCGCCGGGAATGGAAAATAGGGGATGAATTCCACGAGCTCACCCCGTTCACTGCACTGGAACTCGTACCGACTATTAACCTACTTCCTATCTCACATCTGCAGTCACAGCTTTTCAGGACGATCGGTAAACCGTTTATTCATCGGTCAAACAACGTTCGGCAAGTTAGCCCACAAATCGTCCCTCAGCACTTAAAGTCACACTAATGGTGCATAAATCGTTTTACGCACTCTGCTTCACACTAAGATATTCCTTTTCTGAATATTCTCTGCTCTATTGGGTTATAATACGGCGAACTGGATAATAAGTTAAAAGTAAAATTACTGATATTAAAACGCAAAAGTTGTAATAAATCAAAACAATTTAAAAAAACTTTTTGGTTTTAAAAGATTAAATAACAGTAGCCATGAGTACATTGTACTTGCAACTGTTGAACAATTTTCAATTTTACGTCGGTGTTGTGTCATCGTCATTAAGTGAAGAGTTGATTGAATGAAATCGACTAAAATTCAATTTGCAAGTAATTAAAATCTTGGATGTATGTCTCGTACAGAAAAACCATTTGAGCTGGTATCCAGGAATCATTTTCATTTTTTTTTATTGCAGCTGGAGTTTTTCAAACCTAGTTGATTAGTCTTATGCTCCCCTACCTACTTTTTGATTAGATGCTTAAAAAAATGCAATTTTTGACTGGCTCGTTTTATGATAACAGTAATTGTTCTAGACTTCAAATTCGATTTCAAATTATGGAAAAATTATCACATGTTCCAAAAAGATATGTTGTTATAAAGGTATTCTTGAAAATTTAAATATTACAAAAGTTAATTTATAAAAACTTATTACGATTGTCCAAGCTGGTGAAACTATGTTCTAACATAACTTTAAGAAAATGAAAATAATATAAAAAAAATTCTTGTTCTTTGCTCTAAATACCACAGAAAAAAACTCAAACGATAAAGTAAACCTCCTATGAATTTTATATCTTTTGGAAACTCGAAACAATTCAGTTTTAAATATTTTTGTATAATTTTAAAAATCTCGTTCAGCGGAAATACAGAATAATTCCCTGCAAATGGTGTATAACAAATTGTTTGTTAGATTTTTTAATAATAACTCAATTTTTCAAAGAACAAGTTCTTTGCTATAAATACCACAGAAAAATTGAATTATTATTAATAAATCTAAGAAATAATATGTTATACACCAATTGCAGGGAATTATTCTTTGTATCCGCTGAACAAGATTTTTAAATATATAAAAAAAATATTTAAAACTGAATTGTTTCGAGTTTCCAAAATATATAAAATTCATAGGAAGTTTACGCTATCGTTTGAGTTGCGATCGTGAATCTCAGTTTCCTAAAATTTGTCGCAAGGTCTAATATTACTTTCAAATTGTGCATTAAAAACAAAATACAAATTTTCTGGAATTGTAAAATCTCGCTTACTTACAATGCGTTCAGCTTAACACACAAAAACACGCGCACGTGTTCACACGCACAAACACTCACACAAACAAATAATAGATTATTTTGTCCATTCTTATCGATTATGATGGTGAATTGATTGTCTGATGTATGTTGACCATCGAAATATATGATTTGAGAACAATTATTGACCCTTATTTTTTGTCACTTTTCTCGTTGAAACCTATGAAATTCACATTTTTTCTTTGATATGATGAAGTATCCATTGATCATTACTATTAATACGAAATATATGATATATGGATTATCTGATTGTATTGCACAATACTACAAAATATACAAGTGTGCTTGAAAATAAGATCGTTGACTTCAGTTAAAAAACTAATAATTGATTGGGTGCGTTTAATAACTATGTTATCACAGAGGGACAATTGAATCATAATTTGATTTTTTAAAATAAAATAATAGATAAACCTTATTATTTATTTTAATTTTAGTTCAACTTTTTAAAAATGTGGAATGAATATTAACTTTATGTTCTAATATTTTTACTTCAGACAGGTTTTTTTTTTCATTGAAAAATATCATTAAATGCGTGCAATTGCGATTACCAGTGTTACTCTATGAAATAAATGACAATTTTGGTCGTTTCTATTTAAATTTGAATTGAGATTACGAGTTGCTGATTTTGCTCGTATCGTTAAAAGTGTTATCGAGATGGTCTCAGTGCCAAACTGGGGCTTTCATGTCCAATAAAGAAAAAGCTTACCGGGTAGTTGGGAAGGTCCATTGGGTGGCGTCGGGTAGTGATTGTTCGGCGACAGGACTGAGACCTGCGTTAGGGGTGGGTCGGGTTCAGACGAGCACCCTTTTGCCCACCCGAAAGCCAGCAACTTGCTCATACACCCCTACCTCCGCCCATCCCAGCCGTGCTCTTCCAGCGGACCTTATGCGACAGGATGTTTCGACTGGTGCTCCTATCCGGCATATTTGTGCTACGTCCTTCTCCCATCCAGGCCCGTCGCATCCCAGCCCCTTTCTCCAGCCTTTATCATATTTCTGAAACATGAAAAAACAATTTTTCCATCACCGTTTGTCAATAAATCCACGAAATTCCTCTACTAAGGTCTACCATTTATATTGGAATATCTTCTTAGGAGGTATTTTTAACTTAGAATGACACCATTTGTAATGCATTTTGGTTTTGCAATACACCGAAACAATTATAACGTTTTTTATCTCCGAGGTTTTACAATAGTATTTAATGCGGTTTTTATGCCATTAACTGTGCATAAATATTTGTTTTTGCACAATTAACCACTTTTAAAGGCGTCTAAAACTCCTGTTTTTTTATATAATTATTTTTTGCATTAATTGTTAGTATTTAGTGCTATTTTTGTTGGCTTATATGGAAATACAACAGAGCGGCCAAAGAAGCCGCCTAAGCCTCCACGACGATTTCCAACCTGTAATCTCAACGGATGTAAAACTATTAATCTCCAACAATGTAAAAGGAGAACGGAAAAACCGCTGGGTTCGTAAAACTAGAAATAACCCTCCCAACCCGTGGCAGGTTAAGAAAGTCGTCGGCTCCTGGTTCACAGAGGTTCCAAAGTGAAATGGCCGAACTGGCAAGATTACACATATGTCATATAGGAATAAACCACGGGCACCTTCTGGCCAGTCAGCGACCGCATAGGGTTCCCATTATGCAAGGACAGAATATTGATGAGCATATTTTCAGTTTGACGTAGACAATCGGACCTGTGCATAGTCTGGAGGTACGGCTGCGATCTGTGCTGTTCCGGTGCATCAGTGGTATAGAGATTTTTAAAAGTATATATTGTTTATATGCGTTTGTGTTGGGTCTATGTTAATTTATGTGAACGAATGTAATTTATTAGCGTGAAAGGAAGGTTATTTAACCCCACCACAAGGAATATCTTGCAGAAATGATGAAAGGTGGAGTGAGTGGGTATTCAATCATTTTTAAAAAGATAGTTCCTACTCACAGTAAGTTTTTTTGCAACGATCCGGATTTCGAGCCTTTAGCTCATCATCAGGTTGAAGGAGTTCTACAACCACATCTCTCACCATGAATTGCAAAAGTGAACCGCCGATACCCCCACCAACGCGACGTCCCAATGAGAAACTGGTTTTTAATGGCGGGAATTATAACACAAGTGAATATTATAATAGTAAATACTGTAAGAAATTAATTATAAATTATTGATTAAAGATAAAACATAAAAAATTAGAATAACATCTTAATAATAGATTATTAAATTACGATAAAAATAAAAACAATTAATTTAATTATTCGGACGTTTAATATTATTTATGTACATATTTAAAATGGGAGGTAGATCAAGATCTATTATATTATTAATGCATTTATCTCCGTGTTCAATTTTACATTTTTTTATTTCAAATTTCTCAAACCAATCTAGTTTTTTTTCTTTTAGATGGCCTTTAAATTCCGAAAATTCGTTCGATTTAGGCAAGTGTTCTTTTACTCCGTTTTTATTTCTCTACCGCTTTGGTCTATATATTTCATACCACAATTGGTTGGTAAACCCCACTTTTTGCCAAGTTGTCTACCTTGTCTTTAGGTTTTGAGAAGATGTTTTTAAGTGAACCCGTATATCTAAAAGCTATTCTAAAACCTTCCTGTTTAAAAATTTTACTAACTTTTTGTGATCATTCACCAATGTATAGCAAACAACGGAAACCCAATGATTCATTTATGGCGGAGTGACTGAGTCCTATTGTTAATTTCTTTTTAATTTAATTTTTTTATTCTTTTAACTAACAACCTATCAATAAATATTTCTAGTTGTTTTTTGCTAAGGTTTTAATAGTTTCTAGTTCTTTTTTATTGTTAGCAGGTGGTAATGGAAGTTTTAACATATGGTCTATGAGCCAAATGAAACCAGGATCCTTTTGAGACCGTGGGTGTGAAGAATCCGCTGGTATCATAGTGCCTGTAGTTGTGGGTATTCTATATACATCTATTTCAATTAGTTTGTTTATTATGGACAATTTTAGTTCTAAAAAGTTCAAGCAACCATCTTTGTTCATTTCCAACGTAAAATTTATATTACGGTGTAGAGATTTAATTGAATTGATTTTTCAAATCAAACAACAAATTAATTAAATCTGTTCATTTTTGGAAACGCTATATAGACGATATTTTATGCATATGGTCGGGAACATTATAGGAATTCCTACACCTAATTAATTCTCTACACCGTAATATAAATTTTACATTGGAAATTAACAAAGATGGTTGTTTGAACTTTTTAGACTTAAAATATTATATTCTAATTTTTTATCTTTTATCTTTAATCACTAATTTATATTAATTTCTTACAGTTACTATTATAATATTCACTTGTGTTATAATTCCCGCTTTTCGCACGTTCAAATTGAGCGCCTTTAAAAACCAGTTTTTCATTGGAACGTCGCGTTGGCGGGGGTATCGGCGGGTTTACTTTTGAAATTCATGTCGAGAGGCGACGTTGTAGAAATGCTTCAACCTGATGATGAGCTAAGGGCTCGAAATCCGATCTTTGCAAAACAACTTACTGTGAGTAGGAACTATCTTTTTAAAAAGGAAGGAATATCTAGTATTCTGGGGTGAGGGTGTGACGTCTGGAAAATAAATGTAAATTATAAGAGAGAATGAAGTGGGTTCAACCCAGGCCCCTGGGTAACATCGGTACTGTGAGGGAGTGAAAGTGTCCAGATTTCTAGGTTTGTGGTAATGTACATATATGCATTTTATTTAGAATATATTAAAATTGGAATAACGAAGGGTGTCAGTATTCTAGGAAAACGGACCCTAAAATTAATATCTTGTCTTATTTTATCTGAGAGCTATTTTAATCGTTTATTTAGAACAGTTCAAATAAAATTGAAATAAGGGTGTCAGATATGGAAGAAATTGCCAGAAAGGGTAAAATGAAAACTATACGGTGACAAAAAGTGTATTATTTTCGCCAGTTATATTCTCTTTGACTCTTCCTTTTTCGCCCATCCAACCAAATTTTTTTTTCAGTCGAAAAGGGTTTCTCTATTTTGAAATCTCTTTACCAGATGCCTGCAGTCACGATCTATTGTTGTGTATTTTCCGCCGAATGAAACGTAACACGAATGATCCCAAAAAATAATGACAAACTTTGAACAATTCCATCACAGCCAATGAAACTTCACAAGACATTAAGACGATAATAAAAGAACGTAATAATGATAAACTCATGTACACAATATCAACGGTATTAATAAAGATATTTACACTAGTAATGACAATCCCCTAAAATGGAGTATTCGTTAATATCAGTCTGTTATTATGTTACTCCTGTAAATAATTTGGTTTGCATTTTAGACTGCTTTCAATGTTGAAGAAAAGAAGGAATGTTCAAATATAAATCAAACTAATATTTTAATAAAAAATATTTGATAAATAAAATATTTATTTTTATATAGTGTAAGACCAAAAATGGTGTAAGAATAATCTCACTTGATGATAAACATAAAGTCATTAAATAATAATATAATACTTAATAATGAAATCTCGTAACCGTTAAACATAAGTAATTAACATACACAACCGAAATTATTCAGCAGTATAAGTATATTTTGTATATAATAGCTCAAGTTTTTGAACGGTATTGCGATGGGTTCAATCTTTCGGGGCTATTTTTTGCATTGGAGATTTACTGTCGTAAATTTTGTTCCTTTTTTTATCGCAACACAGGAGCTGTAAATTAACAATAAAGTGACGATATTTACTGTTTGAGCGAAAATTACAGGATATACGTTCGCTTCCCTAGCCGTCATTTATGTCCAAATAAATGGAAAAGCTTTTGACGGAGTCAAGCATAAAATGCTATACGATCGTTTTAGAGCTGCCAGAAAGATTCAGCAGAAACGAGTAGTTACCGATGTAACTAAAGGCAAGAATATCAGGCTTTATTCTCACTCAATTTAACATGTAAGCGCATTATTTGAACTATTGGGTTGTCCGGAAAATAATGCAGGATTTTAAGTTTTCATTAAAAAAAATCTATATAAAATATTCTGTTTACGTTTACAGGATTACTCATTTGTATGAATGTCAACACTTATTAATCCTCTTCCAAATGATATTGTTTGTTTACCTCTGTAGCATTCCGCTACTTGGAAATAATTCAGTCATCCTTATAATGTCAAAGCGAGAATTTCGTACGATTTTCTTTTACGAGTTTAAACTCGGCCGAAGCGGAGCCCAAACGGCTAGAAACATTAACCAAGTCTGGGGCGAGGGTTGTGTTAATGAGTGCACTGTGCAAAGGTGGTTTAAAAAATTTCGGGAGGGAGATTTCAGCCTTGAAGATGAAGAAGGTCGTGGAAGGCCTTCCTCTCTTAATGATGATGTTCTGCGATCAGTGGTGGGTGCAGAGCAACTCAAAGTCAGTAAAACGACCGTCGCTGACCACCTCAAGGCGATTGGAAAAGTGAAAAAACTCGAAAATTGGGTTCCACACTCATTAAACGATCGCCAAAAAAATCAGCGCTTTGATGTTTGTGCATCACTTCTTTGTCGAAACAAAAATGACCCATTTCTGGCCAGAATTGTTACATGTGACGAAAAGTGGATTCTCTACGATAACACTAGACGTTCTGGACAGTGGCTCGACAAAGGAGAAGCTCCAATACATTTTCCAAAGCCCCCAACTCATCAAAAAAAGGTAATGGTTACGGTATGGTGGGCTTCATTTGGTTTAATACACTACAGCTTCTTAAATCCTGGCGAAACCATCAATGCTGAATCATACTGTAACCAAATTAATACCATGCATCAGAAATTGGCAGTAATGAAGCCCTCTTTGGTCAATCGGAAAGGGCCCATTTTGTTGCATGACAACGCTCGACCACATGTGTCACGTGTAACGTCACAAAAATTATTGGAGCTTGGCTATGAAACTTTGCCTCACCCACCCTACTCTCCGGACCTCTCGCCTACTGACTACCATTTTTTTAGACACCTGGACCACTACTTACAACACATAATATTC